AAATAAAAAGAAATTTTGCAAGAGAGTTTAAGCATATTTTGCCAATAAGTTGATCAGTTTTAGGCCGTTTTTGATAACTTTTATATCAAAATGAAGCTATGAATGAGTTCTTTTTTTTTGTTCTAAGATACAAGAGTTGTTTAATTAGTAAACTTTTAAGATAACTTGAATAGAAATGTTTTTATATTTAGTAAAAATATCTTAGTAAATAAGAGATCCATAAGCTATTATTATTGAATATGCTCAAATGTAACTATAAAATATATCAGAATCTCATCAACTTATTTTTTGTATCATAACAGGTTAAACTCTATGCATTATCAGCTTTGTTTTTTCATCTGCTCTGAAGCTGTAACTAGTAATATTGAAGTTAGATATAATTAATTTGAGTTTGTTACTAAACTATTTCTTGGTAAACCAGAAGCCATTCATTTTTATAAATATTAGATCATTCTCTGGTGCAAATGATGTATCAGTGTGTTAAATAATATATGCTTTTAGTGCTTTAATAAGGCAAAGGTTGTCTTCAGTTAGGTTTATTACTAATGAAATCCTGTTTGCTAACTTGTGGTTTTTGGTTCTAACAAGTTGTATTGTTGCAAATGTTGCAGAGCCAATCTTTTCAAACCTTAGAGCTTTTAGAGTAGGTACTTTGTTTTCATCTGTTTTGCTATTTGAAATCAGTTCACCAAGACATGCTAGACCATAGAATGCTGTTGTTACTACTACTCAAAATAATAAGTTATCTGATTACTTAAAGTTTAAGCTTTTCTTTATATGTCTAAGATGGGTTCTTGTGATATATTTTTTTTAATTTACTGGTTTGTGATAATGGTTTGCTTTGATAGTTTTAAAAATTTGTCTTATCAGTAGATCTTCTCTTATTGGTATTCAATCATGAGAATTTATTATATGATAGTTTTTTAATGTTGATAAATATGATTTAATCATACCTGGAGATACATTTCTAAATATTATTGTGATGAATTTTACTAGTGACTACCTTGATATAGAATATATGTTTTTGTTTTCATTTTTCCTATTTATGTTTTACTGCTAGTATTTGGTATCTTTTTATTACTGCTTTGTCAGTTTTATGTTTTGAAGAATCTATTTTTAGAATGTTTATTGCCTCTTTGTTTAGTAGAACCTTGCTATGCCATTCTGAAGTAATTAGTTAATTTTCATATAAAACATTAGTACCTAATTCTTTTGTTATTTTAAGTTTTTTCTATTTTATATTCTTCAGTTCTACTACATTAAGAATAAGATAATAGAAATTGTGTTAGTATATTCTGTTGAAATATTGGGTTTGAGATATCATGTCAAGGGTTTTTTGATTAAAAATTCTTTAGATTCACCTCTGGATAACAAGTCTGCATTACCATTTAGTTTGCCTAATATATGTTCTAATTTAATTGAGAAATTCTTTTATATCTGAATTTCATAAATAAGAGCAATGCTTTTGTTTATTCTTTCATTTTTATATAAACTAGCATAGAATGCCTCTGCATTTGCTAGATTGTCAGTCCATATTATCAATTTCTTCTGAATTCAAAGAGGAGCAAATATAAGAATCACTATTAGAATTGTAATTAACTCTTATTCTTGAATATTATAATGTGTTGTAGTTATATTGTTGGACTATATAAATACAGTAAAATAGTTCTCAAATGTTTCTTCTCCTCTAATATTAGATGTATCTGAATACAGATTATTCATATTAGGTTGTTGCCACATTTGATCTTCCATTAGATAGATTCCAGGCCAGCACTTTATTATTTGTACCACTAGCGAATGTTAGCTAACATTAAGGTGGTCAGTCTGATGCGATGCTTTGGGTTTCTAAATAATTCTTAAGCTTTTATCAATCACTGTGCAAATGGTCTTCTCTGAGGCATCACTTGGCACAGCCACATTAAGGATCCTACTAATAATTGGAGATCTCTTTTATAACACCATTTTTTGAATGACCATTCTGCTAATAATTCTCTTATTTTTTGTTTCTTTTGTTGCAAAATAGAGACTGTTATTGTTATTGTATTAATTAGTATATCTAAAAATATTATTTCTGTACTAGGTTCTTCCAGTTTTGATTCTTTGAATAATACTTTTATTAACTCTAATATTTGAAAGAATTGTTATAGTTCTTTCTGATTATCTGATTTAGATATTATTAAAAAATCATTAACATAGTAGATAATTAATTTGATGCCTTGTTGTATAGTTATCTATATAATTGTATCTATGAATCTGCAAAAAATACTATCTGAAGCTCTGTTATCAAAGGTTAATGCCTTGTCAAAGTAAAAGTTTTTATTGTAATTCATGCCTTGCAGCACTTGATTAACTGAGCACACAGGTAGTATTTGATATGCATTTTGTATTTCTATTTTTGACATTGTGCAATCTTTACCATATCAATTTATTTATCTTATGCATAGGTTACATTTTCATATTTTGTTGCAAATTCTATAATGTTAATTCCATTATTTATATTATATTCAAAGAATGCAAATAAGTGTAATATGACTCTAAAGACTTTTGGATTTGTACTCTTCTTTTCTACTAGACCACATGGATTGATTTGATAAGTATCGCATAGTGGTTGTTCTTTATAAAATAGTCTGCATATATAATTCTTGCTTATTTTATTTTGAATATATTTTTCTAATGCTGATGGTTCTAAATAAATTAATTTTAAATTTTTTTAAACTTTTTTTACTCTCATACCAAAAAAATCAAATCTGAATCTATTTGTAATACCATTTATTAGATAAGTTATAAATGATCTATTAGGATGATTATTTGTTAACATCTTGAAAACATGAACATCTATATTTGTATTTGCATAAATATCTTAAGATTTAGTTGTGAAAGCATTTTTGACTCTTCAGCTAATAAGAGTATTTCTTGTGATGAGATATTACTTAGTGTTTTGATGACTGATTGAAGAATTGGAGTTTACTAGTTGTTATATATCTTGAAAGTTTGAATTGGACTTTATGATGAAAATTCTTTTTGTTCCTATTATTGTCTGCATAGTTGCATCATTAGTTATAATTGTTTTGTTCATTATTATTATTTTTTTTTTTTGTATTGCAGTCATTAAAATTTCTTGGAGGGGTTTTTTTTTTTTTTTATTGTGTTGCAATTATTAAAATTTCTCAGAAAGTTTTTTTTTTAATTATTTGCTTGGCTAGTTTAGTTAGTTTAATTGTTATGTTTAGTAGCTGCTGAATTATTAGAAAAACATCTTTATTCTATATAACCTATTTTCTTGCAGGACAAGCATAAATGAACTTGGCCACATTTCTTGTCATTATTGCAATATCTTCAGTTCTAGTTAATGCAGATCTTTCTGCCATCATACCATAGTATCTCTATTTTATTTACTCATAATTTATTGAATCTTGGCTTTTTTGTTACTAAGATATCAAAGTTATCTTCTTCTGCTACAACATTCTGTTCCAATAATATTGAATCATGATTTATTATTAATTCCAGTTGACAGTCTTCATCATATGACATTACTGCCAAAAATTTATATTTTGTATACAAGAACTAATGTAATCTCAATAGAAATTCAATTCTTGCTCTTTGATATCATAGAGAATTGATATTGCTTCTATGTATGATCTAAATGCTAATAGCCATTCTGATATATTATTGAACTTGCTGTATGTATTGTGTTTCCTAATGAATATGTAACCTCCTTTTGATACCTGTAAAGGTGAACCATTATTAGGTATTTCATGTTAGCTTTTATGTTTTTGTGTGCAAACTCTTGCAACTCTGCATAAACACTGAATGCAATGATCTTTCACAATATTGATGTCAGACTTAATTTACATGCAAATAACTCAATTGTTTTCTGTCTCTCATTTTAGTTAGACACTCACTAAATCCTTCTACTCTTAATTTCAGCTACAATAGGTTGTTAAACCCTTGAACTATAGGTAGGTTTTTAAGTAATTTGTATTTGATTGTAGGAAACCTACAACTTCCCCTCTTAACTATTAATTGTTTATTCATTTGATCTTGATTTTTACTTTTTTGCATATTGTTTTTACTCATTACTATATCTGATAATTTTATATTTGCAATTATTTCATTAAGAATTGGGATGGATGGATAGTTACCTTGGGTTGTGAATTCTCTAGTGTCTGTTGAGTTTATAGTTAGTAGAAAAGTATGATTCTCTTTTGGTAGTTGGTTATTGTCAGGCTATTTATCTATGTTGGTTAAATAGACCTGCTCAAGCTGATTGAAATGATTTTCAATTGTATTTTTTAGTTGTTCATTCCATTGTTGCTGCTCTTCCTTCTGTTGGTCTATCAGTTCTTTTACTCTATTGAACAGTGTTGTTATAGCTCTTTAACATGCATTATCAATGTACTCTTTCATTTGTAAGTCAATACTTGGTGTTTCATTAAGTTCATTCATTTCGCTAAAAGGATCACCCTTTTCAAGCATAGTTTGTCTGATTTCTACTGTCCTTGGCTCTTATACCTACCTGTTACATGGAATACCACTTCTGTTACTTTACGCTAATACACATGTTATTGGCATGTGTAATCCATGATCGCATCAAAGATTTCCACGCTGTTATCTCATTCACATGCACATGCATCATGAGGTCAGAGGTGACGGAAATTCTACGGACAGAGTTTAGGGACAGAATATGATCATGTGACAGAATTTGGTCATGTGATATACTGAATAGCTCTAATCACGTATAAAACTTAACAGTAATTAGATTGTAGATCTTTTAGTAATCTAGCATTTTAGCGTTAATTTTTTTGCTCAATAAACTTGCAAGATAAAAATAGTTACTTTATTCGATTAAACCAATGCTTGGGGCGTATTATCAAATTTGTCTATCTATATGAAAGTTAATTTATTAGAATTAATTTATTATTATTATTATTTGATCTACTTCATTAGATGAACTACTTATTGTAAGAAAGCGATCAATACGATTTTGAATTAGTAACTTCCATCTTATCATGGTCAAGGTAGCAAACTGTGTCCATCGATTTACAATTGGTGGTACAGGGGCACCAGGCTTCAATGTAATAGCCACATAATGATTATTATTAATGAAGGCTATTGCAAGTACTTCATTTCGATTTAATGAATAGTGATGTAGAAAAAAGGTAAGATTAATTTGTAGTGAAAAAAAGTACAGTGGCCTTTGGTAGGCATTTGCTATAACATCTCCCATCTGTGGCATTCTTATTCAATGTTTGAATGTACAAGGGCCATTTGCCTAAGAGATCTCTTTCATAATTGTCTTATAATCATCGTTGGCTAGAAACAAGGTATGATAGAATTGTTCTTTTTTAATTAATTCTTTTTGTAATTCTTTTTGAATCTCTGACCACTCATTTTCATCTCTTTGAAACATATAGCTAGTGCTCTATACCCACAATTACCATCTCCATCCACATTAATTACCTTTTTTATGTGTTTATGCATATAGGTAGGTATCTGGTCATGATATAAAAGCTGCTACGATTTTGGTAAATCAGTTGTAAATTTTGGTGTATTTTTCTCTTTTTTTTTAGCAGCCTTATCTTGTAGTTCACTATGAAGAAGATCTCGTTTGATGGAAGCTGGTCGTCTTATATTTTCAGTACGTACTGGTGCTTTTGGAATTACAATTTCTTTAGCAATAAGTGCTTCGATTTTATGTAACAATAAAGCTTTAGACCTACTATCATTTAAATTTGCATATTTTTCTTCAAGCATATACAAAGCCTTATTAAAAGCTGTATCAGTTGACAAAGATGAAGGTAATAAAGGTACAGAATCATGTTTTAGAAGCCAGCGGGGGTGGATAATTGAAAGTGGAATGGGCCCTGTTGATGGAATTATGTGATGATATGGTAGTTTGAAATTTAGTCTCAAGCTACAGTTGCAAATGCTATTATTTGTATTATCATAATTTTCTTGAGTCTCACATATTTCTTTTTTTATTCGATCAATTGCCCATCTAGAAATTTTTCTGACCAACTGTTCAAATTTCGTATTATTAAGTATAAACGGATCAGCTGAAATTATATTCAGACCTAAAGCTCCATTTTTTTGTTGTTGATGTTGACGAAAGGCATGATCGATATGTGAAAATACCTGATCTAGCCTGCTTGCTGCCTTAATTGCTTTTTTTAAACTGCTATGGCTTCCTTCTGCTCGTTGAGTTGATTGGACTCCCATATGAGGATAATGTTTTGTATAAACATGTATCCAACATTCTGAATCTTTTTTCTATTCCTCAATGTAATTTTGAATATAATTAGGATCTCTACTCTTCATCGCTGCTTGCTTTATCTCTTCAAATGCTTCTTCAACTATACTCATCTCCTCAGCATAAGCAGCTTTTTGAATTGATAGCAATAATTTTTCATAATCATCATCAGAATCAAAAAACTTTTTGCATGCAGTACGTAAGTTTTGGGCAAGCATGTGCCAGATACAGAGCATTTTTTTTGTATTTGGAAAAACTTTATTTGCTGCATTTCGAA